CCCCAAAACCCCAAAACCCCAAAACCCCAAAACCCCAAAACCCCATTTATTATTCCTTTTATTGAATATTTATAATTAACAAATCAAAATGCAAGTCAAACAAGAGGCAGTGCTGAGTGTCCCGACCCCACCGATGACAGAGAGGAAGGTAGTCCCTGATCGCTTCAAATTAGGGAGGAAACTAGGCCAGGGAACTTTCAGTAAGTCTTAGAGCACCCTTGCACGATCCTTGATGGTTCTATTACAGTTACTTATTGTAAAGATATCAAAGAGCCTATTTCTAAGTGAATCAAATGTCGCTGAATTAGCCCAAGAACAAGACTTTTAGATTGGATTTAGGATGAATTTTGTTATATTTAAACCGGAAAATCCCGGAATTTTACCCCCAAATATCCTGGAAATACTATTCTACCACCTTCATGTTATAAGAAGTCGCGCATAACGGTGGTAATTAGGAGGAATACTCTAGCTGCTGGGCTGGTGACTTCTTTTTAAAATTTGAATAATATTCTGACTGTTTCTTTTAGGCGTCATTTTTGAGGCTTATGATACACAGAGAAAGGAAAATGTTGCGTTGAAAATAGAGAAGAAGGATAAAATCAAGACGATTTTGTTATTTGAATACAAGGTTTTATCAAATTTGCAGAGTAAGTCAATCCCCAAGCACCTTCCATAAATCGTATCCTTGCTTTTTAGCCGAAAATTTGATAGATTAGAGGAAATTTAGGACCATCTGACTGTATATAGATAATGAACATATTTGCAAGGTATATGATTACGTGGAGAACACAGAATCAAAGCAGAACTTTATTTCCATGGAACTCCTAGGTAGGTTTATAAGACATATTATTAGTCCCTAAAGGAACTATATGTAATTTATAGGGAATAACTTGGACAAAGTCAAGAGAAATCATAGTGATGGCAAACTTCCAAGAGGCTTCGCCACCTTCATCCTTGTAAGTCTTGATGGTAACCATCTTAGATGCAAATGCTTGATGCTATTGAAGAAACACACCGTAGTGGGTTCATTCACAGGGATATTAAAGCTGTAAGATTTCATTGAGTCTAACCTATCTAGTCGAATTTTGTCCTAGGTAAAAATTCATCGAAGGTCTATCTGGTGGATTTCGGACTTGCGAAGAAGCATCTCAATAAGGATGGGTACCCTATCCCAGCCAGGAAAAAGGCTGACTTTAGAGGCACAGTCTCTTTCGCCTCTCTCAATGCTCACTACTGAATAGTAGGTTTAATGAATTTTACCTTATAGGATTTGTCGAGGAGAGATGATCTATGGAGCTGGTATTTTGCCTTGCTAGACTTTTACAAGGAGCCATTAAAATGGAGAGCCAACAAAGGACTAACTATGGTAAATTGGAGCTTCATAAGTCAACTTTGATTTTCACCACTATTTTCTAACCTAAGCTTTAGGCTCAAGTAAAGGAAGTGAAAGAAGAATGACTCAAAGATCCAGAGAACAAACTATGGAGTAAAGAGACAGAAGATTTGCCAGAGATTAAAGAGATCTGGAGCTCAATAAAAAGACTTGAGTACAAAGATGAGCCAGACTATAATTTTATCAGAGGAAGACTCAAGCAGATTTATGACAGATCGCAATATATCCCACGATGGAACCCTCATCCATATGAGAGATATGATGACCAATATTTAAGGTCTTCTATGGAAGTTCCTTTTACTCGCAATTTTATGAGTAATAATGATATTGATATTGCAAAGCCGATGGGGTACTATAGAGATAATTTGCAGCCAAGAATCACTTATCCTCAATACCCTGCTGGAAAGAATTATGTCTCTCATACTCCTGCCCCAGCACCAGCTCCTGAATATATGAATTCAATCGGGCAGACAGCAATGTATAATCAACCAACTATGACACAGAACTATTCGATAGGATTGACAGCTCCTCCTTCAATACCTCACCCAATTCAGACACCAACATTACCAAAGATGCCATTGCCAGAATTTGAACCAAGAGAGACGAATTTGAACGTCTCTTTGAACCAAATATTGAGGTTCCCTTACCAAATTGTAGTTCCCCCAACTGCTGAGATTAATCAAAGCATCTCAATTAGCAACTTGCCACCTCTGAACGATCTGGCGATAAGGACGGGTATTAATAACTCTGTCAGCACATTGGTGCACAAAGGACTTTGATACCCTGGTGGAAGTGAACTAATTCTTCCAATTTCAAGCATATATGCTAAGAATTGAGCCAAATATCCTCCTGCTCAACGAGAAATACACTGGGAGAGTAAGCCGATGACCTCTCATGATCCTAACCTCAACATTGGAGGTCCTCACAATTACTACAGTTTTTCACAGAGAGATTTCATGCCAAAGGAGGAGCCTAGAACTCTAAATAATGATTATAATCTTCCTCCTCCGCAGCCGCAGGCTGCGGGGATGATGCCTAATAATATGATGCATAGGTCCTACGCTCAAAATCCTTCTTACTGCTATCCCACTGTGGAGACAAAGCCTGAGTGAGAGAAGTTTGAGAAGAGAAATAATTTCTAGATTTGACAAACAGAGAGTAATTTAATAGTCTATCATCTAATTTCTTTCTATTTCAAGCTGGGATCCATTCAAGGGGTTTTGGGGTTTTGGGGTTTTGGGGTTTTGGGGTTTTGGTGGTGTAAAAATTTATTAAATTTAGGGAAATTTATGCATTTTGGTAAGTGATTAGGGGGAGTTAGAGATGATAATAGGGATAGGTACGGAAGATGATCAGGGAAATAGTGGTTGGAAGTTGGTAATGGGGTCGATAATGAATGAGGATTCACCATTTCATCATCTTGTTGTCAGAGATAAGGCGAGAGTTAAGATTAGAAAGAGAATTAGGGTCATTGATAAGCAAAATTTATCTCAAGATGAGCAGGGAAAACAGACTCCTAAGGTTATTTTTATAGTTTAAAATTTAGAAAGTTAAATTATTTGATCCCAGTATAAATTTTCTGAAACCTGTGAAGAAGGTCAAATTCACTAAGATTTTCATGAAAAAGGCTGGATTAGGACGAAAATAAGATTCAAAGAAAAGGGCCTTTCAAACGATCCAGTATAGCTTTAACTTATCCATAGGCTTACTTAACCATAATCAAGATCGCCATGAAAAATCTACAGGACTTCGATCAACCAAACTTTTAACTGAGAGAATTTTTAAAAGATTCCCTTCTGTCAAAGTAAAGCGACTACCTCATGAGCGGAACCAAGAGCTGAGCAAGATCCGGGAAGAGTTCCTAAGAGAGGAAAAATAAGCATCTTGGTATTAAAGTTTCTGAAGAGACCAACTTAAGAGCTAAATCACGCAAAATAGTACCTAGAATCGATAATATGCATAGGATCTTCCAAATGATCTCAAAAATAGGCTAATGTCTGCTAGAAGTAGGAGGTTTAACCTCTCTGGCTCCATTGGTAAGCAGTCAAACCATAGCTATAGATTCATCAATAAGCAGTGAACTATCAAATAAAGGCTCTTTAAGAAAATTCCAAAACTTTCTAAGAAGACAGCAGAATGAAATAAGTCTTCTCAGATCATCTATCGAAAGCAATCGGTCTTTAGATGAGCCAGTGCCTTGTAGTAGAGGACTTATGACAGCAGGTATAGGAAGGCGTAGAAGTCAGTTTTAATCACCAATTTCAACACCAAAAATATTCTAGGGGTTTTGGGGTTTTGGGGTTTTGGGGTTTTGGGG